ATTACTAAAATTCAGGATCCCATGAGAAAGGCAAATCATACCATTACTTCTATGATTTATTCAAATTCCACAAAATTTAATAATTCTTCAGTATCCCCCTTTCTCCTTAAAGGATATAAGAACCAAAGATTTTGTTATGGGCTTAATATCCCCCCCAAATTTATATGCTGAAGTCCCAACAACCCCCTAGTAACTTAGAATATGACTATGGCCTCTGGATATACTGTCATTAAAAAGAAAATTAAATTAAGATTATTTTGTACATTAAGGTGGGCCCTAGTCACTAACGTCTTAAGTTACTTTTCTCATTGCTGAGACAAAATATCCAACACCTAAAGTTAAAGGATGAAAAGTTTATTTTTGCTCACACTGTGTAAACGTTTTAGTCCATAATCACCCGGCTCCAAGGTAGGGTGGCATAGTAGAGGGGAGTCGTAGAGGAGAAAAAAGAATTTACAGTGTGGAACGTGGAAAGCAGGAGGGAGCAAAAGCAGCAAGCAGCAAGCCCTCTTTTTGTCCCTTTTATTCCATCTAGGCCACAGGCCCTTAGGGAGGGTAGCACTCACACACAGGGTGGGTTTTCCCATTATTCACACCCCAAATTATGCCAAACCAATCAGCGGACTAATTTAGTAATCACACATCTTTAATTTCAGCATCACACACTTAATCCCAGCATCACACACCCTAGATCCAGCTACCTCTGAAAAGCCCCACCTAAGACAGCACGAGGCTTTGAGGGTACATCTAGACACAAGCCACGGCAGTTAGTTTCATTATAAGAAAGAAAATTAAAATACAGACAGGTACAAAGAGAAAACCTCATGAAGGAATAAGGAGAAGATGGCTAAATGTATGGCAAGGAAATGACACTAAAAGAAAACAACCTGCCCACACCTTGGTCTCCAACTAGTACCCTCCAGAATGAGACAACAGATTTATGTTGTTTAGGCTACTCGGTCTGCAGTACTTGGCATGGCAGCCTCAGCAAACTAATGAAGTGATATAGGTTTTCTTCCTCTAGAAATGAATTCTTCAACTTTGGCTACCTATTTTAATCATTTAAGGAACTTTTTAAAAATATCATGTTTGGATTCCTCCCCAAAACAATTCAGAATCTCTGAAGATTTTACCAAACATTGATTTTTTAAAAGGCTCTCCATATAATTCCAGCGTGGAGCTAGGGTTGAGCACTGTACTACATGGAAGCAATCTGGATTCTCAAGGATCTCACCAAGTCTCTCACTGGACCCATACTACTTTTGGAATTCTCATAGATAAGAGAGCAATCCATTGTTGTCCAAGCCAGAGTTTGGCAAACTTTCTCTGTCAAGGGGCAGAAAGTAAATTTTGCTTATATGTGTATAGACAATATATGTGGCAACTCAGCTCTGCTATTGTAGCCTGAAAGCAACCATGGATACTACATAAAGTGGTGCCTCTGTAACAAAATGCAATAAACTTGACAAATTAGTAATCAGCAGAGATTTATTTCTCACGGTTCTGGAGGCTGGGAAGTTTAAAATCAAGTCACCTACATGTTTTGCACCTGGTGAAAACTAACTTCCTAGTACATAAATAGATCTTTTGTTAAAACTTCACATGGTAGAAGGAGTGAGGGTATCTTTAGGATCTCCTTTATAAAGGTGGCAATCCTATAATGATGGCACAGCCCCATGACCTAATCTCCTTCCAAAGGCTCCACACCTTTCAATACTTTCACCTTGGGAGTAAGATTTCAACATATGAATTTGGAAAGGACATAACTATTCAGTCCCCTGAAAATATCATTCACAAAGCAGGTCATAGATTGATTTTACTCATAGACTATAATTTGTTGACCCCTGCTCTAAGGTATTTTGAGGATTTCTTGCTAGACAGAACCAACTACCGTGAAGGAAACAAATTTTGTGTTGCAAACCCTCCACGTGCACTGCATGTAGACTTTGCGAATATTAGAAACTAAACTCTAAGACAGGAAAGAGAGAAAAGAAAACAGGAAATCACATGATATTTCCTGTGTGTGACAGATATTTCAATAGGGGAGAGCATGAGCTGTAAGAACTTAGAGAAAAAAACCTGGAGCCAGTTCTTGAGACATCCAGGAATGAGTGAAAGAGGAAACCTCCCCCTCAGATATCCACCATCTCCTCACATCAACCACACTGCTTTTTTAATTTTAATTGCAATTTTAGGGTTTTGTTTGTTTTGTTTTGTTTTGTTTTGTTTTGTTTTGTTTTGTTTTGTTTTGTTTTGTTTTGTTTTGAGACAGGGTGTTACTACATAGCTCAGGCTAGACTTGAACTCACTATGCAGCCCAGCAGACCTTCAACTCATAGGCCTCCTGCCTCAGCCTCCCTATGTCCTGCAATTACAGGTGTGCACCACAACGCCCAGTTGGTTGTTGTTGTTGCTTAATTTATAGTCATTCTTCCTCGTTTCTTTTATATACCTCCTTGTAGATGACAAGTTTGCCCTTCGTGGTCTTGATTTGATTTCTAAACTATAAATTATTTGCTTATTGCTATCAATATGGATTTACCTCAGCCAGCTACTCTATAATATTTTTCATAATTTTTGAATTTATCTCACGCCTTCCAAATTTATTCTTGCTCTTCTCTTTATGTCTGTCTGCTTTCTTTTTATATTGGCCTGTTGTCCCCTTAGAATTTTATACTCCTTTGCTATCACGTCATCTTGCATTTCATTGAAGATGCTAGGTAATTTGCTAAAGATTTATTCCCAGTCCCTCAATACACAATTTTCAGAGGAATGTTCTTTCATTCAAAATATTATCCTAAAAGTGAGTATGTGTATTTCTGTTTTGGCTTTTTGAAACAGAGTCTTGCTATGAGTTCAGGCTGGCCTCAAACTCAGTAATCCTCCTGCTTTTGCATCTCAGAATGCTGGGATTACTGCCATGTGTACCACTCTGCCTGGAAAAATATGTACTTTTGATGTGCTATATAAAAAATATTTTTAAAAGCACAAATAAACATACTACTTTGTTTTAAATATAAATCACAATCAATGTCTTAGTCTTTCCTCATGCCATAACAAAATACTTTAAACTCAGTAATTTATAAGCAACAGTTCTGGAGACTGGGAAATCCAAGATCAAGGCACCAGAAGATCTGGTGTCTGGTGAGGGCCTGCTCCTCATTGATTGCTTCTTTTAGGTGTCCTCACATAACATAAAGAGCAAATAGACTTACAAACCTCTTTTATAAGACAACTAATGACCCCATGCATGAGTCTAAGCCTTCAACCTAATCACCTCCTAAAAGGTCTACCACTCAGTACTAGCACATTAAAGATGAAATTCCAAAATGTGACTTGGGTGGGGGCATCAACATTCAGGCCAGAGTATTCGGTATCTTGAAAACTGCATGTGAGTCTCTCCCCTACCCCAAGTTGGTGCATATAGTTGTAGCTAATCCATCTTTCCTTGGGTACAGTAGTTCATTTTATGTATTACAGTGTAAAATAGAGTACAATTTATCCATTCAAGTGTTTATGGATTTTGTATTGTTTCCAGTTTTTGCTGATCATAGTAACAATGCTATAGACATAAACTTGTCCCTGGTTCTTGGTGCACCCATGCAAGTTGTCTAGGAACTACACCTTGGAGTGGCGTTTCTAGATCATAAGATGCATCTTCAACCATACCTAGGAATACCAAATGGTTTTCAAGTGTGTTTGTGCCTATTTATACTCTCCAACCAGCAGTGCGGGGATATTTCCATTGTTTCGTATCAGTAATGATGCTTAGTATTGTTAGATTTGTTAATTGTTGCAGATACAGTGGACATAAAGTGCTACCTAATTATGACAGCATTTATGAAGATGAACATCTTTTCATGTTTGTTAACCTATCCTGCTTCTTCACTATGAAAAGCTTATTCAAATATCTTCTGCTTTTTTTCTAATGAATTGTTTGTCCTTTTCTTATCAATTGGTAGGACTTTGTCATGAAAACATGATAGTAATTCCTGATTGGTTAGCACATTGCAACTATTTTCTAAGAACTTAGGGCTTGTCTTTTATTTACTATGTCCTTTTTGAAGGAAGTTTTAACTTATAATGAAGTCAAATTTATCAGTCTTATGTGTATAACGGCTCCTCCTTTGAATTTTATTTAAGAAATATTTTCCATTCCCAAAATTAAGACATTTTCTCCATTTTTCTGTAAAGGTTAAAGTTTTCTTTTTTTAGCTGAATCTCCATACTTATTTAGAATTAGTATGTGTGTGATAAAGATTCTGTTTTTTCCCATGTGAATCACTGATTATCTTCATGTCACTTGTTAAGTACTTTTTCTTTTCTCAAATAATTTTCAATGCCAGTTCTTCATGTAGTGTTTTAAAATTAGCTATGTATTAATCCATCTCTGGACTCTATTCTGTTCCACTGAGCTCTATTTCTAGCCTGCAACCCAGAGTACAGTGCCTTAATTACAATAGCTTGTAATAAAACTTGACTTGGTAGGGAAAGTCCTTCTACCTTGATATTTTTTGGGAATTTAGAGCATATGATGTGATGTTTTATTTTTTGGGAATGTATTTGCTACTTATAACACATTGTTCATCCATATACATTTTAGATATAGCTAACTGTCTTGGTTACTTTTCTCTTGTTGCTGAGACAAAATATCTGATACCCAGAATTAAGGAAGGAAAGGTTTGTTTATCTTACAGTTTGTGGAGGTTTCAGTCCATACTTGGCTGACTCCAAGGCAGAGTGGCACATGGACGAGGGCAACAGTTCATGGTGGCAGAAGATAGCAAAAGAGGGTAGAGAGACAGAGCAGGCTCCTTCCTTCCCTTATATTGTAGGCAAACTACCTGCCCCAAGGTAAGTGTAGCATTCACATCCATAATTCCAACATTGGACCATTAATCAATCGAAAACTCTAGAAACCAGCCCCATGACTGCATGAAGCCTTGGGGGTATATTTAGACACAAACCATAACATAATCAAATCCTTCTTCAGAGTTTTATTAGAATTACATTGAATCTACAACTGAGAGAGTCTTATTTGAGAAAATTAATATTGCAATATTCAGACTTTCTCTCAGGGATCATATGTCTCTTTAAGAATTCTTTAATAACTTTCATTAAAGTTTTATAAGTCTCCCCATAAAGGTCTGGCTTTAAGATATTACTAGAGGCTGATCTTTGAAAGTGTACCATGACAAATTCATTTTGATGAAGAGGAGATTGTACTCAAGTTTGAGTACAGTTATTTTTTCCATTCACAGGTTCTACATTCAAGACTTAATCAACCAGTTATTGGAATTACTCAAGAAAAAAGCTGTCACTACTGAACACGTACAGACTTGTTTCTTTGTCATTATTCCCTAAACAATACTGAGCAACTGTTTACACAACATCTACATTGTATTAGATATTATAAATAACCTAGAGATGATTTAAAATATATGGGAAGGTGCATGCAGGTTATATGGAACACTATGCCATGTTACATAACAGACTTGAGCATCCACTGATTTTGGCATCCACGGCAGGGCTTGGAATCAGACTCCCATGGAATTGAGGGATGATTATTTTTCCCTCCTTGAGGTGGGGGCTTCACGTATGAAACAGACCTGACCTGTATCCACTCCTTGCTCACGCTGGCCCTGAGGGGAAGAAGAAACATAATCTGATTAATGGTTTCGAAGGATAAACTTGGCTTTTGTGCCCTGCTCCTTCCTCTTCCCATCCTCTTGGGAGCAGCTCTATGAGAACATGTGGTCTGAATTACTCTAAAACACGAAGAAGCCTAACAGCATTGACCCTTCCTTTATAGGAGAGGTTTGTGCCGCTGCTAGTGATTCATTGGAGAAGGCTGTCTGATTCTGGAATTTAGCATTGTGAATCTCTCTTATGCACAGATACAAACCACATTCTGGAAAATCAATGTAATAATAATAAAAATGTTTTGGTGTCTATCTGCCTGTTCTTTTTTTCCAGCTTTATTGATGTAAGATTGACAAATAAAAACTGTATAGATTTAGAGCATATGATATGATGTTTTAATACATGTACACATTGTGAAATGACTACTACAATCAAGCTAATTAACTTATCCAAAATTTCACATAGCTATCATTGTGTGTGTATGTGTGTGTACATGTGTATGGTGAGAGTGTTTGTGCTTTACTCTCTTAGCAAATTCTAAGCATAGCATATTGTATTTAACTATAGTCACTCTCTCTCTCTCTCTCTCTCTCTCTCTCTCTCTCTCTCTAATATATATATATTATCCAGTATTTATTTCGCTTGTAACTGAAGGTTGGTATCCTTTTACCAATCTCTTTATTTTCCCCCACACTTAGACCTCAGTAATCACCACTCTACTCTCTATTAGTATGAGTTCAAAAACATGTTTATATTCCACTGTAAGTGAGATCATGCAGAATATTTCTTTCTGTGTCTGGCTTATTTCACCTCACATGATATCCTGTAGCTTCATCTGTGTTGTTATAAATGACACAATTTCCTTTGTTTTTAAGGATAAGTAATAATCATGTGTGTGTCATATTTTCTTCATCCAGTCATAACTTTGATGGTCATTTAGGTTGTTTCCATATGTTGGTTATTGTGAATAATGCTGAAAAGACTATGACAGTATAAATATGCCTTTGATATAGTGACTTTATTTCCTTTTCATGTATTTCCAGAAGTGGGGTTGCTGAATCTTATGGTAGCTATATTTTTTTATAATTGAGGAAACTCCATATTGTTTACCATAACAGCTGTGCAAATTAATACTCCCACTACCAGAGTATAAGGGCAACTTTTTCTCTGCATTCTTGCCAACACTTTTTAACTTTTGACTTTTTTTTTTTGACTTTTTAATAGTACCCATTGTAACAGCTATAAACCTACATGTCGTTGTAGTTCAGATTTGCATTTTCTTTTTTTTACCATTTTTTTATTAAACCTCATAGAGACACTCAAGAAAGAGGACTTCCAGAACCACTTCATAAAGTGTCAAGAATGATGGGATGAGTGTGTTTGAGCAAGGCAGAGTATTGTTTTTTAATTTTAAAGAGAAAATAAACAATAATAATAATGATACAGAATTTCAAAACAAGATAATAAGAAGTTAGCAATGCCTATTATACTACATATTGTTAATTTCAAAGTAGTTAGATTACAAGATATGGGATGCAAAATTGATCAAACAATATAAGCACAAACTGTTCCTTTTGATGAATCAATAGAATAGTCTGGTTTCTCTTCAGATCATATAAATCTTTCACCTTTTCAATGAACTAATAGAGATTAGTAGTACAATTATCTTAGCTATCTTGTATGCATATATATCTTTTTCTTTTGTCCTCCTTTTTTCTCCTTTCCCCCACCCCAGTTGTTCTTTCCTTTTGAGCAGTTTCTTTTCCTTTCATAAAATCTGTTGTACATTTTGGATCTTATTTACTCTTGCAGTTTCTTACACTAGGGAGACAATACAATGTTCACCCATGTGGGTCTGATTTATTTCACTTGTGAGTATTGTCTCTAATTGCATCCATTTATGTGTAAAAGCCTCACGTTTATCCTTCTTTATAGCTGAGTAGTACTCCATTGTATAAAAATACCACAACTTCTTTACCCATTCTTCATTTAATGGGCATTTGGGATGTTCTCAAGATTTAGCTATAACAAATTGTGCTGCTATAAACATGGGTGCACATATACCACTGTGGTATGATGTTTTTAATTCTCCTGGGAAAATACCCAGAAGGGGAATAGCTGGGTCATACTGGACCTCTAATCCTGTTTTTTTTTTTTTTGAGGAACCTCTACACTGATTTCCACAGTGGTATCACCAGTCTATACTCCCACCAACAGTGGAGAAGGGTTCCTTTTTCCTCATATCCTTACCAGCATTTTTATTGGTGGATTTCTTGATGATAACCATTCCTTCTGGGGTGAGATGGAATCTCAATGTTTTAATTTGCAATTCTCAGATAACCAATGATGTTGAACATTTTTCCATATATTTATTTGCCATTTCTATTTCTTCATCTGAGAACTGTGTATTCATCTCAAATGCTCATTTTTGGATTGGGTCTTTCAATTTGGGAGCCCTGCTTTTTTTCAATTCCTTATATGTTCTAGATAGAAGTCCTTTGTCTGAAAGACATTTGGCTAAAATTTTTTCCTATTCTGTGGGTTTTCTTTTCACTCTGTTGGTGATTCCTTTTCATGTGCAAAACTTTTAATAAGATGAGATCCCAGTTGTTGATCCTTTGGAGTATTTCCTATGCAGTTTGGTTTTTGTCCATGAACTCTCTGCCTGCCCCTATGTATTCAAGATTTCTACCTACTTTGTCTTCCAGTAGATTTAGTGTTTTTGTTTTAATATTTAGAACTTTGATCCATTTTGGCTTTAGTTTAGTGCATAGTGATAGACATGGGACTAGTTTTAGTCTTTGGGATGTGGAAAGCTAGTTTTTCCAGGACCATTTATTAAAGAGGCTATCTTTCTTCTGGTGAACATATTCAACCGCTTTGTCAAAGATAAGTTGGCTGAGTGTGTTGTAGTTGTGTCTGCATCTTCTAATCTATTCCACTGATCCTCAGGTCTGTTTTTTCACCAGTACCATGCTGATTTTATCACAATAGTTTTGTAGTATAATTTCAAGTCAGGGATTATGATGCCTCCTGCCTTCCCTTTGTTGCCCAGGATTCAAATTTGCATTTTGTGAATGCTTAGTGATGTTGAATTTTTTTGTTAGGCCTATGGCCCATTCATATGTCTTCTTTGTAAAAATGGCTATTCAGTTGCTGTAATCATTTTAATTAGATTAGTAACTTTCATTTTTGTTTCCTATTTGTCTTGGTTACTTTCCTCTAGTTGCTGGGACAAACTACCCAATGCCCAAAATGAACGAAGGAAAGGTTTATTTAGCTTACAGTTTGTGGAGGTTTCAGTCCATGCTTGGCTGGCTCCAAGGCAGAAGGTAGCAAAGCAACAAGAACAAAGGGGGGAATGGCAGCCAAACAGCAAACAGCCAGAGCAAAGGGGAGGAATGGCGGCAAGCAGCTTTTTTTCTTGCCTTACATGGTAAACAGGCTACCCCCACCTAAGGGGCATGTAGCTCTCACATAATCTCCATGCCCTCCTCTTCCACAGGCTCAGGATGTATACAAAGTAAGCACCCTGGCTTCCTGCTGAGTCACTTAGCCAAACCTCTAGACTCCCCAAGTTGACACAATGTATCAACCATAACACTATTCAACCACTCTTTTGTCTGATTCAGAACATAGACTGGGAAATAAATGCTATTAATTAGGCCCCCCTCAAGTCTCAATATAAATGCAATTCTAATTAGATTATTAGTGTATAAACACACAACAGACTTTCATTTATGTGGAGACATATATGTAAATATCTATTTGGCAAGCCTCATAAATCTCTTATTTTAATTTAATGTGCTTATAATTTTAGTTATTTTTTAAATATTTCCTATTTCTGTAGTTATTGTTATTTGTATATACCATCTCTCTTTTCACCATGATTAGTCTTCTCAGATATTTTCAATTTTATAAATCTTCTCACTGACTCCACTATGGTTCCACAGTCTTCTTTGCTGTTTGGGGGGTTTTCTGGCATTAATTTCAGTTCCTAGTTTCATGATGTCTCTCATTCTACATTCTTTGACTTGGTTTTACTTCTTTCCTACTATAATTTGCCAATAATCCCTTAACTTCTCTTCTCTAATGTAAATGATTAAAACTACAAATTTCCTTCTGGGTAAAGGTTTAGTTATACTTCACAAGTTGCTGTTTTATTGCTATTACTTCTCTGAAATGTTTTGCTATTTTATTGTAAAGCAAAACACAAATAGAAGAAACTACGTAAACAAATGTACAGAGTAGTGAAGTATTATTAAAATCAACATCCTTGTAACTACCATGGAGGTCAGAAAAATAGAACTTTACTAGGATCCAGGAGCTGCCCATTGGCCCTGGGTCGATTTCAGCCTCTCTCCCTCCCAGACAATATCCTGATTTTATCATAATCACATTCTGTTACTTTTAGGGTTTTATTTCACCCAAATAATCATTCTTAGACATAATAGTATTTATTTTTACCCACTTATAAAACTTTGTTATTTAGGTCATTAAACTTTCTTTTATTTCACATTTTTTCCTCCATCTTCTTTTCCTGGATTTTGCTGACTGTATTCCAATGGTAGAATTCAACACAGTCCTCTCTCCCCTGGATTTCTAGGTGCTCAAACAGACTTCAGTTTGACCTCTTTGGCCCAGACTGTAAATTGTGTGGTGTTTATTTATCAGGAAGTTGTCTGTTTGGTTATCTCTCTGTTTGTGATATTACAGCCTCTATTGCTCATTGTCTAGTTCCATTAATTCACTGGCAGTTGCAAGATATTCTCATTCTGCAGCTTTGTTTTCTTTCATTAGCAGGAAGAGTTTTATAAAGACATGGTTCCTTCACTTACTTGGTTACTCTGTGATTCAGTTCATTCAGGAATGCAGAATAAATGCTCCTTCTTTCCCCTTCCTACGTTTTAAGATAATGTATTAATTTTCTGTCCTCACCCAAAGTGACTGATTAATTTTTTAAAATTATAATGATAAACTCAAAAATTTAAATGTATTCTATTTCTCATCTATTTGTCACAAGTTGAAATTAGATAGGGAAAGGCCCACGGACTCAGTCACACTCCCATGAGACACAGGACCTTTATCACTGGCAAGGACCCCTGAAATGGCCCCAACTCACTACTAGAAAGGTTTAAAGAAGTACAGAAAAAGCAGTGAGTGTGGAGCTGGGGATTTAGCTCAGCAGCACAGCGCCTGCACGGCAAGCGCAAGGTCGTGAGTTCGATTACCAGTACCGGGGGAAAAAAAAAAAGCAGTGAGTGAAAAAGCAGAGTAGAATTAAAGTAATAGATGGTGAATAAAGAGATGGAAAATCTGGAGTAATTGGGCTTGCTGGAATGGATATATTGTGTAAAATAAGAAGACCTACTAGATGGTTATGTTCTGGCAGAATGCACTTTGAATGCTATTTATAAAGACCACAGGGAATCAACTAAATAAATAGGTACAAGAATAGTTCTGAAGAAGCTAAGTGGAGGCTTTCCTCTGTAGGCCGTGGCTGACAGTAAAAGAGGCTGCTGTAAGCTTAGCTTACTGTTAGCGATGGTAATAGCAAGACTCCAACATAACTAAAACTGGTGGCAGCATTTCTGTTAATGTCTCACTAGCCACTGGGAGTTTTCTTTAGTTCACTTCTCAGAAAGAGTATATAAGAACAATAGTCCTGTGTATTTATAACAGTTTTTCTATATTTCCTTGAAAGTCAGTTTTGCTAATATAAAACCCTTTATATTTCCTTTCTAGGATATCTTAAGTGGCATCTTTTTTTTTTGGCCTTTTTCCAGCATAAGTTTTTGCTGTTAAAAACTTTGATAATACTTTAATTTTCTTTTCTTCATAAATAAGGGGAATTTTTTTATCTAAATGCCTAAAGGATTTTTTTTATAAAGTCCATAGTTGTCTATATCTTGGTGTTTCTTATTCCTAATCAATATTCTCATATGCATGACACACACTGTTTCCTACATTTTTACTTAAAAATTATTAATTTATAATTTAAATAGTTTTCTGATTTTTTTGTTCTTGTTTGGCTTTGGGACTATTACTCTTATGTTGCACCTTCCTTGCCAAGTTTCAACATTTGCTATTTTGCAAAAATTCTTTTTTCTCTACTTCTTTAAGAGATTTTTATTTATTATTACTTTTTTGTTGGTTTGGGTTTTTTCTGAGATAGAGTCTCACTTTGTAGTACAAACTGGCCTTGAATTCCCTATGTAGCCCAGGTTGGTCTTTAATAGTAATCCTCCTGCCTCAGCCTTCCCAGTGCTGGGATTACAGGTATGAGCCACCATACGTGGCTAGAATTTTTTACTTTTAAGCAATGCCAAATTCATAGCTGTACATACTGTTCAAAGAACTTTTTTTCTTAGCCACTATGAATAAGTGCTTGCCTGATGTTTCCACCATGTCTAAATACATTCATTTGTATTTTTTTGTTTTGTTTTGTTTTGTTTTGTTTTGGTTTTTCTCCGGTACCGGGAACCGAACTCACGACCTTGCGCTTGCCAGGCAGGCGCTTTGCCGCTGAGCTAAATCCCCAGCCCCCCATTCATTTGTATTTTCTTACTATCCTACATAACTATAATCATCTAAATGAGAAAAATAACACTGTTACATTGACTTATTTTGAATTAGTAAGTTAACAGTTTTGGGTCTTTTCATATGCATATGTTTCTGGTGTGTGTTCTGTGTCTGTAAGTTTGTTATTTTATTCCATATTTTATCTGTTTCTATAGTAACTTTCAATGAATATTGCTTACTTTCTTTGTATCCATTCTTATGGACAGAATTAAACCTTACTACATTTCTGTCACTGATTTCCAGGAACTACAACTGAAGGAAGATTTTTTTTATTTTCACAAAATTTCCTCTTCCATTAATTTCATGTTGAGACACTGCTTTCATCGACTTCCTACCTTCCTTTGTTTCCTCTCACTGTGCCAGCTTTTCCTCTTCCTTTGTCTCTGCTGTCTCTGTGCTGCTTTGTTTTGGTTACACTTCCAGCCCCTTCGCCTCAGGGTAGGACCCCATCTGAGAAACCCTCACAGATGGAAAGTTCCGCTCCAGAGAAGACTTCTTTCCTCATCCTTCCTTTTGCACAGCCACAGATACAATGCTCCTCTTATGGGTGGTGGTGGTTACATTTCTCATTCTCCTTCAAGACAAAAGAAGATAATATCTCAGTTGTTGCATTTGTTGCCCATATGCTTTTGGAAGATTGTTTTCTCTAATTTCTCTGCTCTATTAATTATGTGGCTCTTCAGCGAGATATCGAAACCAGGCTGCCACCACTCATACCATCTTCCCACAAACTTACAAATTTTAATGTGTATTACTTCATATTATGCACTTATAAATAGCTTAACTTCCTCTGTTTTCTTTTTCTTTGGTCTATAGATATATATTTCCATTTCCAAACAAAGAAAAATGCCTTTCTATTACTAATTTGTAAGCTATTTTGTAGCAAACTGTTGTGTACTGGGGATATAATCTTTTCAACTTTCTTAAAATTTGCTTTAGGGACTAGCATATGATGAAACTTTAAAATAGTCTATGCTAAAAGTGAATATGTTATGTACTTCTTGGGTGTTAATTATATTATTCAAATATTCTTCACCCTCAGTTATTTTTGTTTCTTTGACTAAGAATGTTTAAATATGTATTGAAATCATATATATATTTATATATAATTGTGTATAGTTATTAGATGTGTATAATCTAAAATTATTTTTATCTTCCCGCAAATTGAACATTTTATGTACTACATGACAACCATATTTACTGTAATTTTTTCTATAGAATTATGTTAATATAGTAACTACCTTTTCCCTTTGTTTGGTACTTACCAGTTATATGTTTGTTTATTATTTTATATTTAAACTTATTGAGTTCTTGCATTTAAATGTATCTCCTATAAACAGCATGTAAACATATTTTGCTTTTATCTTTATCTTCTGAAATCTAAACTTTGACTTTTTAACTGAAGAATTTTGTTCATTGACATTTACTCTGAATTATAATTTTTGCCTATTTCAAATTTTATCTGTTGTATTTTATTTGTCCCAATTTTTCTAATTGAATCTCTTACCTTCTTTTAGACTAATCATATTTTGCATTTGTTTTTAATCCTTTTTATTTTTTCCATCTACTAATTTAGAATTCTTACAGTTTCTATTTTTTCGTTGATTCTACTAGAACTTTTAGCATAAGATTTAAAGTCTAAAATGATTGTTCTACCATCCCCTAGGACATAAAACTTCAAAATCTTCATTACTAATCATGGCTTTCCTCATCCCTACTGTTTTCATGTATTTTTCTTCATGGATTTAGTTATGTCCTTTGTTTTTCTGGTTTCATTGTGTTTTTTTTAATCTTTCATATTTGATATTAAGTGTTTTATTCAGTTAATGTTTGTATTTCTGTATATTTATTCTTCTCTTTGCTCATTTTCCTTCTAGTATTTTATATCTTCTTTTATTTTTTGTTTTCCTACCATAAGTATACCCTTCAGAATTTCTTTTTATAAAAATAAATTATAGTAAATTCTCAATTTTTGTTCACCTGAAAGTATTTTCATTTTAGTGTCATTGTTGCCAGGTAATTTTGCTGGGGATACAACTCTAAGTTTACAATTATAAGATATTATTTCATCATGTTCTGATTTCTGTTGCTCCTGTTTAAAAGTGAACTGTAAATCTAGATGACATTCTTTTGTGATTATTAATCCTTTTGCCTCATATGATTTTCACTTTGTTCTAAAGTTTACTCTGCTATGTCTAGATGCAGATTTCTGTTTATCCTACTTGAGCTTCATGATGTAAGGATTGATATATTTTATCAATTATGAAAAATTCCCAGCCATTATTTCTTTGAATATTACTCCATACTACCAACCACATCCTATAATAATTCCTTATGGAACTTTCCTTAGAATAATTAAATATGTTCTTATGCTAATCTCCTTGATATTCTCATTCTCTCTCTTTCTCTCTCTCTCTCTCTCTCTCTCCCCTCCCCTTCCATGCTGTGAGTAATGCTTCAGTCTGTCTTTTAACTCATTAATTTTCTCTTTAGATGAGTCACCGTTGTTTCTTAACCTCTTTGATCCACATACTGCATTTGTAATTTCAATTACATCTCTACTTGGTGCCTTTTCAGCTCTTTTTAGTCACTCTTTATAATCGTCTTCCCTTTTGCAATATTTTTAAACAGCCCATTTACATTCCATTGTTAACACTGTAGTAAATCATGTATCTAGCTCTGCAGTTAATTGTGTCTTCTGATTCTAACACATAAGGGTCTCTGTGCCTGCGTATCTTCTCCCTCTGCCTCTCCTTCTCCCTCTCTCTCTCCCTCTTCTCCCCCTCTCCCTCACGTTCTCTTCTACGTGTTCCAGGGACTCATGTGGAGTACTCATCTGGAGCTCTCTTGAATGTTAGCTTTCACTTCCTAGAGTTGTTGTGAATTGTGGTCCCAGGTACCTGTGAAAGTAAGCTTGGGGGCTAGAAGTTCTTGCAGAACATTTTTACCTTATTGTCCTCCCACAAAACCAAACCCCAGGCAGGCTAGGATCCCCACATTCTATCTCTGTGGTATGGGGTTTTCCCCTATTTCTCCACTGAGGAATGTTGGCTTGATGGTTCCAGCTTTATGCTCAAGTTTCATCTCTGACTTGCCTCTCTGCTACGTGAACTTTGTCTTGCCCAGCTAAAGTCCAGGCAGCATTTGGAATCCACATGACCGTCACAGAAAAATAAGATCATAGCTTTCTTATTATTTTCAGGATCTGAGGATTTCTTTTACTTCCCAACCATCTCATCACAGTATTTAACTAAATTATCCAGCATCATTAATGGTCTAAATTTGAAAGTTTTCACCAGTCTCCAGCATGTCTTTTAAAAGTCTCTTCTGCTGAGTTTTCTTTGTTATATAGTATTTTTAGGGTGCTGTCCATGGATAATCTTCCTCTTCATCCACGTTCCCATAGGGCAGTGCCTTTATACTCCAAGTCCTTACCAACAGTGGAGTACACAAGTCATTCTTGACTCCCTTCTAACCCTTAGGCTCATGGTGGACCCTTCTTGCCTCTGCAGCTTGAGGTTCCACCATTTCTAACAGACTTCCATCGAGGTCAGCATCAGTGACACGCTCCCCTAAACTCACTGTTTATGTCTCTAACACTTTGAACAAATATAGTTCACAACACTCGATACTTTCCAGCATGTACTACTATCAGTGTTACTTTCCTCTATGACTCTAACTAGTTTTCTCATGAGAACTTCTACAAAAATGTAACATTCTGCCACCGGGTTCTTCAACCCTCCCCTTCACTATCTTCCCCAATTCCGGTGCAACTTTGATACTAGGATTATTTTCTGAGTGAACAGTAGCTTTTCCCAATAAACCAATACTACTTTCATAAATGAGTTTGTTATGTCTATCTTTGTGTAAATAAAAAAGATGACTGACTTTCAAAAGAACAGCTTTCAGAAAACCTCAAAATGCTCTGTCTATCTCATGCACTAAAGGAATGCTCCCTTGTTTTCTGGTTTATGAAAATCCTCAGCCTCTGATCAATGAAGCAGACGTGAAGGGATTAGAAGGTGACTTTTTAGCCTAAGTGTTCTGTTTGATGAAATTAGTGACGCCTGGCTGTACCATGAAGAAAAACCTGCAGAGCACTTATTCTCTTTGGTTCCTTCTCCTTATACTGAGGAAAATCTTAGCTAATAGCACTATATTGTCCATTACTCCTACTTTTTTTTTTTAGTGTTACAAGTTTCTGCCTTTTCTTCTGGCTATTCAGGGGTATTTATGTCATGGGGCTGTTTGATAAGATTTATCAAGAACTGCATGCCAAACGCCACTTTAAACAAGAAGCCCCTTCCTTGGTCATCACAAATTACCTGAATATGATACTTTTACCCAATGTTCCTGTCTTTCACATCCTTCAGAATTTGTTTAATGGGGTAGGACACTCATAGCTGACTTCCCCAACATAGAAAGAGATCCCAAATATTTGAGATCAAATATGAACCCGGTGACTGCCTCATGCTGATCTCCCCAAACAATGTGCACCAGCTGATGGAAGACAAAAACTAACTCAGCTGCCCAAGCTAAGCCTGTGGTCCCAGGAAATTAGTTCTTTACACACCCTCCTTTTCTCTCTGACCTATCTCTGATACCAGGCCACCTCTCCTCCACTCCTCCCTTGGTCAAACCTTTCAACTTATTAAACACTAAATATTAAATAATCATGTAAGCTATAAAGAAAGAAAAAGCTGCAGTTCTGTCAGCCTCAGTCCAGGCCAAATGAGTCTAACCTTCCATCCTCTGTACTGCAGCCCCTTCTAGGATCCTGTGCTCATGCCACATGTTGAAAGCACTGAACACATAAACAAGAGAAGAACAGGGCTGGGGATTTAGCTCAGCAGCACAGCGCCTGCCTGGCAAGCACAAAGTCATGCATTCGATTCTCGGTACTGGAAAAAAGCCACAAAAAAAAAAACCAGAGAAGAACAACCTGAGTGGTCAAAACCCCAAAAGATCTGGAAACACTGTCATGTGGGAAATTATCTGATAAACCAGAAAACAGGGGCTGAAGAAGAAAGATCACTATCTTTGAGTATTTTAAATGCTAGCAAATGAATAAGGGAGCAGGTTTGCCTCTTTGCTCTGTTTCACAGAACTCAAGCCTGTGGAACAAAGTTGTGAGGAGTTAGACTTACTTTAACTTTAAAAAGTTGATCTAATCAACATCAGTTGTACCACAGCAGGGTGCACTACCTTGTAATGCAGTGAATTCTTTATCATTGGAATCTTTCACTAAGTTTCTGAATGACTACCAGGGAAATTATCAAAATAATATTTTGAGGGGTGGGAGATGGACAAAATGACTTCCGATCTCTGACTATCAAGTTGTTTCATACCATGGTTTTAATGACTAATATGAGTAGTATAACACCATATCTCAAAAGCAATGACTAATGGTACCACACCAGGAATTATCACAGACACTATCACAGGGCTTGGGAGATAAAATTTTTGTCTGGGGTGAGGCAAGGAGGGTCTTCTGAGTGCTGTTTCAGAGGTGATCTCATTGCTGATAAGGCTTGATTTGGTTTATTTGCTTGCATGCACCATATCTTTTTAAGATGCTGGGGAGGAGTAAAGAAAGGAAGAGAGGACAGTTTGTTTACTAAACTCCCATTTTTAAACTAAATGTGCACTTTCATATCTATTATTGAGTCCTCAAGACAAGCTACAGTGGTAATATGACAGAGAAAGTAAGAGCCAAAGGTCACACGGCTTGTAAGTAAAGAGGATAACATAGTGACAAAGACAGGACAGAAAATAAATGTGCTTTCTCAAATCCTTTTTATGGAACTTCAAATCTCTGAGATGAAAAGAGACTTAGAGGTTATAAAGTTTAACTACCTCTAGGACACAAAGTCCTCAGCCTTGGAAAAGTAGGTTTGTGCCTTTAGACAGAAGGTCAACCTAATAAGAAAAGAATGAAGCTCACTTTTAAACTGAATGGCTTTACCCTTCCTAACCTCCTCTGTGTATGTGAGCCCAGACTCCTGAAGAAGACATCCACGGTGAAGTAAGAGGTGTCTGGCCCTGGTAGCAGAGACCACAGAAGACTTCCCCTATAGAAGGCTCTCGGTTGGAATCTGGAACCTGATGTAGCTCCAGGCTACGTCTCAGTCCTTGCCAGTCTATGCACCGAGAGTGCTGTTTCCGGTCCAAGCCATCCCGCAGGCCTGAATCCCCTGGGAGCAAGGCTCAGTGGGAAAGAATGTATTTCTAACATCCGTGTCACGGATTCAATTTCTTTCTCTGAATTTTCTCCCTGGGATGTGGATACTTCCACGCTGCCTCCCAGCAGGCCCCAAGGCGCAATGCTTTCCACCCGTAACTTGCCCACATCGCCACAGAGGCCTTCAGCCCGTGCAAGAGGCAGAAACTCACAGTCTCCTGGTGATTCATTGGCCTCTGGTCTACAGCTAGTGACACATCCTGACTCAAAAATGAAATTTGAACCTCCATTAAATCTAGGAGAACTGAGCGACATGAAAAGAAAATGGTGTGAGGGTGCAGGGGAGAGGACATTTCCTCTCCCCTCCAAAGGAGAGTCTTGGTCTCTGATGTCCTTCAGCATAGGGGTAAAGAGCAGGTTAGACTCCTCTGAATTCTAAAACCAACACCTTTGCCAGGGTCATTGTGCAGGCAGAGCTCTGAGCTTCAATGGTGTTGTGCAAAATTCCAGGAAAAACATAAACTTATATAAGGTCTTCTCCCCACCCTTAGGAAGTCTTTTGGGATCCCCCAAATCAGAACAGCACCTTCCACCAGGATCTCTGTTCTTCGCATTAACTCTTACACCAGACAAGGACCACCGCTTATATCCCGCAAAGTGAAGGTTCCTTAAGTCCAAGAACCAGGTTTTAAACATCTGTATCCACCAAGCTTTCACACATTCACTGGCACACGTTACATGCCAGTCAGTGTGACGTGAATATAGTCTTCCGGGGTGGTGAGAATTAAGAGGGATTTGAGGGATTGTGAGTGGGGACAGAGTGGGGGGATGCCCAGGTTTAACCACGTTCCCCTGGATTAGAGCCATGCTCAGCTGTGTAAATGGCACAGAGTGCTTCTTCTCTCTAGACTTGTCAAATCCAGGCACTGAAGATTCCATGTCTGTAAAATTAAGGAGCTGCTAAATGATTTCTGGAGGTGACGGGGACCTCTGCAGGGTGGGCAGAAAGAGTATGTCCACTCACTGCCCTCTGGCTGTTCCCACCCTAAATCTTCCCTTTGGAGGTAGGGTTCTCTCATCACTACATCTCTGGGGGCCTTTGTCACCAGGAGCTGAAGGACCTTAACTGGAGGACTCCTCAGCAAAGGTCTGCCCCTAGGCGCACTCCCCTCAGTAAAACTTGCACATCCTTCTGAACAATGAAAGCGTATTTTCTGGTCCCTAAATTCCTGAATAAACTTTTTTATCATTCTGAAAATTAGGACATAGGCCCAGTCTCAATTTTGAAGCCCTTAAATTCCCATAATGACATCTACAACTGCGTCCACCCCAAGGGAATATATTAATTCATCATCACTGGGAATAAAAAGTAATCAAAAGATATTGAGTGTCCTCTTACTGAGGCAAGAGAATAAGGCGTGGTAGATTGGCTGGGGAAGTAGGCATGGTTGGTTAATTACAAAATGCCCGGACGTGGGCACAGAACAGTTACCAAAGACCTGCACAAGGACTTCTCCCAAGAACTCCAGCAGGTTTTCCACAGGACAACCTGGACCTGACACCATCCTGAGGGACAGGAGATACGAACACTCAGATGCCACTGAGCTCACCGCCACTGTTCTCTCTCTCACACAGGGGTCCGCTTTCACGCTGCAGGGTGGACTTGTTTTCCTGCTATTGCTTGGCCCAAACTTACTCCTCAGAGCCTGTTTCCTTTCCTACCTTCAATAAATGTAAAGCCTTGCTGTCATTTATGCTTGTCTCTACCAAGTCTTTGCTCAGGAGAGAAAGAACCTAGAAACCACCTCTAGAAGTCCCTAGCATCCCAAAACTGGGTAACATTACCAGTTCTTTCCCTCTGTCAGCCTCCGATTGTTTACACCCTTTCTGTGTGAAGATTGTGCCCTTAACGGAGAAAATGAAAACCAAAATAGAAATTGAGGAAGTTTGGTTTATTTCTCTTGAGCACTGACATTCATCAGCTGTCCCAAGCACTGGACCTATGGCTCCTTTGATTTTCCTTTTGCTCTGGTCATCATTTTTAAATAGCTTGTTGTGTTTAATCTCAGCAGTTCATAAAAGCTTCATCTCCTTCTGCAATTCAGGAATTCTGAATCTCCTCCTACAAGAGTCTGCCGACCTTGGGAAGATTACTTCCTTCCACGTCCATACAGGTTCTTGGAAAGCTGAACTCAAGGACAGCTCTTAAGATAACCATGCGCTTCCAAAGGTAGTTTCCCTTCTCCTGCCTCAGACTCATTTGCAGTTGCACGGTGACAATGATCATTCTTAGGCTTTTCCAGGCTTTCACACCTATTTCCACTTTGAGAGCCCTGGATTTACATCCAATTTTCTATGCTGTCTGCACCATTAAATCCAAGAAAGGTATCAGAGTTTCCATCCCTGTCTCCTATCTAAGACTATTTCTATCATTTTCTCATCTTCAAAATCAGGTATTTCTCATTGATAAAGCTTTAGCCTATAGGCTGAAGAGCTTTCCCAAATTAAAACAGTATCTGTATCTGGGAAGGTAGGAAGAACTGAGGAAGGAGAATGAAGGAAATCTCAACTTTATTTATAATGCAGTATTTCTTTTGTTTATTACATTGTTGTTGATTATCATCAGTACTTTCTAATATTCTTTTCAAAATAAAATATTTAGAAATAGAGTAACAATTCCCTTTACTACTTCCTTACTCTTCTAAGACAGGAAATTGTAAAGTAATACTAGAGTTTATCCAGTATTGTACTTCTTCAGACATTCTGACTTCTCCTGACATATCTTGGGTATATGTCTCCAAAGACCCAGCCCTCTCTCCCTGTGTGATTGCCTGTCTTCATTTCTAGTCCTCTTGCCATTCATTGTAATTCTATCTTTGTTTCTGGCTTCTTTTGTCTTGCTTTATGCTTTGTTCCTGTCTAGGAGATTAGGAGTCCTTTGCTCTTTCTGATACCTGATTTTACTCAGGGCCCGTGTAGTACTGACCAACTTTTCTTTGTGATCAACCTGAGAGCAGATTTACAAGAAAAATTAATCCTGCCTGTTATGGTTTGTGTCTGGATGCCCCCCAAAATCTCATGTAGGCGTGGGGCAGGCTTCTAGAGCTTATGATTGATTCATGGTTTGATGTTGGGATTATGGGTGTGAGTGCTGCACCCACCCTGGGGCAGGTTATTTGCATACAGTGTAAGGGAGGAAAAGAGGCTTGTTCTCTGCTGCTCCTCCCTTTTGCTCTTGCTGCTTTTGCTGTTTTCTGCTGCCATGAACTGTTGCCCTCTGCCATGTGCCACTCTGCCTTGGAGCCAGCTGGGTATAGACTGAAACCTCCACAAACTGTGAGCTAAATAAACCTTTCCTTTCTTAATTTTAGGCATCAGGCATTTTGTCTCAGCAATGAGAGAAAAGTCACCGAGACACTGCCCCACAGCCTGTTATCTGGGGAGGCTACAAGAGACCAAAGAGCACCTGCACCACATGTTCGCCTTAGGGAGGAAAATGACAGAAGAAAGAAGAACTAGAAGAGCACAAAGACAGGCTTGACCACCTTCAGGGTTTTCTAATGTCAGTTCTATGTAGGACACATGAAATAGGAGCTACATTAACAAAATTCATGAATTTATGTGCAAGGTTCATAGCAAGTTCAGCCTACCTCAGCAGATGAGCACAGAGAGCTTGCAGGCACACAGGAAGTAAACTTCAACGGTTAGACACAATGAAGGAAGCACCTAAATTGCTTCTCTTCTAAAGCTTTTAAATACTCTTTGACTGCCATAAATCATAGAGAGCAGGCATTCAGGAAACTGCAGGAAAGACAAAAAGGAAAGTCCTTCTTTAGGCCCAGCATTTCATGAATGTGTGAAATAAATGGTAGAATCAGAATTTAGACTGCAGTAATAAAGGGAACGACAACTCTGTTCCTTAAATAGACCATGGGCGGACAATGAGCATTCTGCACAGTTGGTATAAACCCTGAGTTCAGTTAGATGAAGTGACCAGGTGGGTATATACTTTTTAAGTCAGCTTGGTACTCAGAAGATAACAGAGCTAGAGAACTAAAACCAAGCATCATCAGAAAAACCCTTCCTCATCACTCCTAGATCAGGATTTCACTAGTATACTACAGAACATACTTTTTTCTCTCTCTCCCTCTTTTTACAGTATCACCAAAACCAGAACTGTAGTATTCTGGTTTTATTTTATTTAGAGTATTTTTTATTTTTTTATTTTATTTAGTGTATTTTTTTATTTTTTGATGTATTCTCATGCACATTAACTATGTTTTTGAATAACTGCCTAACAAAATTTTCAAGGTTTTTTTTTCTATTGTATGGTTCTGCTTCTGTCAGCTTATCTTGCTATAACCCTTGCTGAATTCAGCATAAAATCATTTTGGGAGGATGTAGTGAAGAATTACCTGAAATCAACTCCATTGATAATTGCTATGAAAAATCTATGCTGAGAAAGAGAAACTCAGCTCAGTCACCTCAGAATACCTCTGGATTGTTAACCCAGACAAAGCTGCATGAGATATGGACAGAATACAAAAATTTCTAGGATCCAGTTTCCACTGGGATGGCATTCACAAGATAATTGGAAAAGAGGAATTATTATCACCTGAAATGAAAAATGATAATGAGCCAAGATAACAATTGAGATATCTTGAGACAATATGTGATTTATTGGGATTGCATTATTAGAAAATGGACAGACAGATTTTAAGGATGGACAGTGAGGTATATTTGCACTGCACAAACATGAAGCAGCATGCATGCGTTTAAGTAGTGGCTATAAGATTTCCCCTTACTTTACATAGTTTTAGGACTTAAGAGATCCCAATAGTTATTTAGATGCATTTCATTAGGTATCCATAACAGCCCTGTATACCAGAAAAAAAGGTCAATATTATCTCCTTTTTATGAGAAAACTAAAGATCAGAGTCAAATTCTTCTGACTTCTACTCCAGTGCTCCTTCAAGGACAAAAAGATCAAAATAATTTGACAACTTTCTGGATTAATTCTCTAGGCTTTATTTCAAACTTCAATACTTAAGGTCAAAAAGACACACAAACTTTGATTCAGGAAACTTGAAAAATAATTAGGAGTTGCAGGTACAAGATATAAAGCACAAATGTTCTGTAAATTATAAAATGCTGTCAAATATTGGTGGTTGGGTTCTACTGGGCACCACTGGGCCAGTTCTGGAACCCAGAGATGGAAATGCCATTTCAGTCCCCACTATGGCCCAGCCAGTGAAACATCCCAGCCCCGCTGAGCCAGGCGTCCAGACCCTTCCTCCATCAGTTCCTTATGCCGCCAAAGCCAGGGTAGAAGAGAGGAAATTGCAGCCCTCTCATTTTATGACCTTGATTTTGTGGTTGAGGGATTTAAAACAGCCAGCTTCACTGGGGAGGCTGGGTGCTTTGGAAAGCCTTCTCTCATGTTTCAGAAAACATGCTCCTAATATGGCACCGTCTCCACGGAAGTGATGAGGACAAGGCCTGGCGGCTGAGCTTTCAGGCCACCCTTCCTCATATCTGAGGTGAGGGAAGCCAGGGACAGGATCTGCGCAGACCCAGCCTCAGCGGGTTCAGAGCCTTAAGTATTACATAGGTCATACAAGCTTAGTGTTAAGACAGAGGACAAATCTAAGTTCAAATACAGATTCTCACACTGGGTAGCTGCACAGTCACTTGCAAATTACTTAACTGAGCCTCAGTTTCCTCCTCTGTTAACAAGAGAATACTAATAATTCCTGCTTTATGCCTTTTCTACAGGGACACACTGATATAACATGGGTTACTTAGCATAGCACCTATGCAGGATCCTTGTAACTGTTGCTATTATTGTAGCAACTATAACCCATGGTTATTAAGAACAATATTCCAGTAAACTAGTCAGTGCTGAATGAATGAAAGACCTAAGTGACTTTGGGTCCAGGATCTTTGGGTCTGATTGCTCTTCCCTCTTTGGAATAGTTAGGACAGCCGGAAGGAAGAAGGCTTAGGAAGCAGCCCCAGTGGCAGGAGGTTTATTTCCTATATGTGTGCAATCTTCACCCACACTATTACACTGCCCCTTCATTTACACATCAGAAGAGCAGGTCTAGGCAGAGCCCACAGTCTCAAACCTGGTCAGTGACTAATTAAACACCAGCAAGTGTGACTGTAAAACCCAGCTCTGTCTATGATGCCCCAGAAGCCTAACCCAGTCCATGGAAAAGCTCATGCATGAGCTTTTGAATGAGCTCATCAGTCTGGAATGTTGGATTCTAGTTGTTTGCCCTAACTGGGTGCCCTTGGGCAAGACACCTTGCTTCTGGGGACCCAGGATTCCTCATCTATAAAACAAGACAAAGGCCTTGAGGACCACTAAGGGTTCAACATGTCTGCATTCTAGGAGCATCTGATCCTGAGCAGTGGTTATAGGCCTAGCACACAGGGAGAGAACTGTCCCCTCTCTGAGGACCCCTCATCTATGGAGCACTGGGCCTAGGTGTAGAATGTATAAGGCACCTTGACCCCATTACATCAATGCTTCCCAGCTCTGTCACTTCACTGTTTTCCCTCCCCTTCGTTTTCTCCTTTCTCTCTCACACCTAGGCTCACAATTCTACCAGCTGGGATGAATGTTCACGCCCCTCTGCTGTGTGACACACTCACCCACAGTGGACCATGCTGATTTAATAGTGTCTCTGGGGTAACATTAAGTCACATTAACTGCTATTTATTTCCTTTGAGATTCTGATATTAATACTTCAAATCCTGAAATGTCCTGGGGCTAAGGAAATCATGTCTTTCATGTTTGGCCTAAAGATACTGTAAGCCTTTCACCCAACCCCACCTCCTTGGCCACATAAAGACTCGGGGCAAATTGCTGGAGAGACCTCTCAGACTGCACACACCCTGATGCCCTCAGAGGTGGCAACTGTAGCCTCTAGCTTTCTCCATGAATCTAAACTACTTCAAAACCTAGGGTCAGGCAGGCATGACTGTTCCTGCATGTAGTCTCAGCACTTGACGAGGCTGAGGCAGGAGAATCACACACTTGAGACCATCTGGGCAACTTGGTGAGATCCCACATTGAAATAAAAAGAGGCTGGAGATGTAACCCAGTGTTACAGCCCTTGCCTAGCATGTCCAAGATCCTGGGTCCATTCTCTAGTACTACAGGGAAAAAAACTAGGGTCCCATCTTCACTGTGAGCAGCAATGTATTAGGAGTGCTAGGGAGACTCACACACAACTACCTACGAAGTTTGCCATCTGAGAACATTCCACCAGTATCCTAGACCTCCCTGTGGCTGACGAAGCTGGTGGTGCTAACTATTCCAGCACCAAGAGTAACCTGATGGGAAGGGAGAGAGAGAGGGGAGGGGCTTATCCCAAGAACACCTCCCAAGGAGACAGATGTAACTCATGCTGCCCCATCACGTGGACACTAAAAGCATACTCCTCCCACTCCCAAAGTCACATCCTGCCCTCTTCACTTAAGAGATGTGTGACCTCAGGAAAGTTGTCTGACCTCTACCTGAGCTCCTGATCTATGAAATGGGCAAATCATTTATCACACAGGGTTTAGGTAAGTGAGAGCTATAAACCCAAATTTATTTCTGCCAAGTGCTGGAATTACAACCATGCGCCACCACACTGGGCAGAGAAATTTAAATTCTTTTATATCAAATCTTCTTCTTAAATATATGTTGAGATTCTCACACTGTCCTAGGTGAAGAATTTTGGCTCTCTTTAAAATGAACAAGATAGGCATATTGGCTAGGAACTATACAGCGGTATAAAACAAGTAGTGACCACAGGGTTGGTGGCTGGTCCCAGTCTGAGGAGCAGGGCTGGGGGCAGAGGCCCACAGGGGACATGGGCTACAGATCTACTTTGGAAGGTCAGACACTAAGATGACTGCTGCTGAACAGAGAGCATCTGCTGCACAACACCCTCCTGGCTAGAGAGCAGCGGGCCAATCTCCACAACCATGGGGTGGGTTCGTGCATCTCTCACCCTTATTCCTTGTCCCCTGTCCTTTGGTGCTGCTTCAGGTCTCACTGGCCCAGATAGCACCTAGAGCCAGCCAGTCACTTCTCAAGAGAGGCTTAGAGGAAGCCGCTGATCACTAAAATTCCTCGGCTATCTTCTTCCAGCCTTCATGGGCACAGTTAGGAGGAGGGCAGAGATGAGCGCATGGAGAAGTAAGAAGACAGGTGACAGTCAGCGGCTGTCACTCCTCCACAACCTAATATGCTGGCTTCTTGAAAGGTTCAACAGCAGCCATCCGGAAACAGTCTGAAAATCAGAGATGAGGCTCCCAGGGAACTGGGAACACGGGAAGACACAGAGAAACAAGAGCTGATTCTTTCCCACAAGGGTCAATAAGAAATTCATGGTAGAATGTCCCTGAATGAAAGAAGTAAAGAGCTGATGCATCAATGGATTGCAGTTACTCCAGCTGTTTTCTCGGATAATTAATGCCAGAGGCCTGCTGGGGGACTAGTAGAAGGAAATCAGCATGGGTGTTCTAGGGATCTACAAGGACTTGTCTTGGATCCACTTCAGCCCAGAGCAGAAGCCACGACGTTCACACATTTAAGAAGTCCCACAGAAGGAAACCCCCAAAGAAGAGGGCAAGTGGAGCTCTTTGACTCTAGGATAGTACGCACCAGAATTATTTCTTGCACTGCCCTATGTTCAACAACCACAAAAACGTGCTCACTCCAGAGAGGCATGAGG